ACACAAGGTGCGTAATTTATCGTCAAATACTCACCTCAGGAATCCCTCTAAAAATATATTCTCGGAAAGACAAAGTGTAAGACTACGCAGACGAGATGGGAATGACTGCAAATCAGTGAAGTCATGAAGCTGCATTGCTGTGGAGAAATCTGAAGAACAGAATGTTTGGGGTTTTTCTTCTGACAAAAGTTATTACTAGAAAAAGTGACGTGAGAAACACTATGTGTTGTAATCTATGCCCTAACCAAGTGTCAGATGTTGCAAGCGAGGACATTTGTTGGCCATTTCGTATAGTACATTCGGAGTGATCAGATCGGTAGTGAGCTCCACAATGCGAAGTTCAGAGAACTGTGTACCTATCAAGTGCAGGAAGTAGTCGTGGTTGGTCACCTTAATTAAGTTTCATTTGTTAATATTGCTCATAGCACTTCCAAAATTACCTGAATTCCTCCGTAATTAGGTCTGAAAGAAACGAATTTCCACAGCATTGGGCTACATGCAACCGCTCGCCATCTCTTGCATACCTGGCCTGATTGAAGGATCTTAAACGAATCATTTAAGGTATTGAATAGAAGCAGAGAATTTTGAAATTCAAGATTTTTTAGAATTATTTTTATCTCTACTACTTCAGCAAGGTTAAGTATCATTTGTTTTAAGAAGTGATAGGTTGATTGAGCACGCTTAAATAGACCAGTAGCTATATTTGTACAGTGAAGAGAATATGTCTTTAGAAGCTTTGCCTTGTTAACTATATTTTTTTTGCTTCATTTACCACTGGTGAAATATACCGCTCTCATTTTTGTCGAAAAGCAGCAGTAAGAGCGATAAAATAAATTGCATATCTTTCTGACAAATTGTATTATCAGATGCCATCATGAAAAAAGCTACAAAAAACGATTTATTGCGAAGTTTGACCTTTTTGATAGTGACATCCCCACAAAATATCCATAGCAGAGATGTGAGCATAACGGTCTCAGAATTTCATGAGGATCCACAACACTTTTTTCTCTAGCATTTCAATTTTACAAGGATTTTTCGGTACAATTTGTCCTTTATTTGTTTTTTTTTTGTTGAGCTTTTCCTTCCAGTGATTTACCCATATTTGAAAGTGGGAAATTTTCGGCAAACATGGTTTCCAGCATTCAATCAATATTGTGAACGTAAAGGTAAAAATCAGTAGGATAATCATAATCTTCCAACAAATCAAAGTTTTTCGCATACCTGATAAGGAGATAGGTAAGAAAAGATTTGCTGTAGCACCTTGTCCGGAAGTTTGTCGATTGTCTGAAAGAAACACCTTATAGTTATTCGAACTCATCATTCTTTTTAAACTAGTGACAGTCACAAAACAGAGCCGAAACCGGCTCACAGTATCTGTTGAGTAATCCTCCTCCTCCTCATTTTGAT